ATTAGAGAGGTTGAGGCGCACGTTTTAAACGTGTAAACGTGTACGTGTGACGTTCGGCGCCGCTTTCCCGTAAGCCTAAAAGTTTGACAATGGTGTTTGGATAGTCGGTGGAATTACGCTCGACATTCCAAACACCATCGTCAAACTTTTAGGCTTACGGGAAAGCGGCGCCGAACGTCACACGTACACGTTTACACGTTTAAAACGTGCGCCTCAACCTCTCTATAAACCAAATACACATTTTCTTTCGTCATATATGATATAAAATTAAAAAATATAATTACGAATAAGATTTTTTTGTCAGAACAGTAGAAAAAAGTTACAAAAATGCTTGAAAACAGGAAAACTAAATCCTTGGTAAAATCATTATTGGGCTGCAATTTGAAAAAAAAAATGTAGACCTATAAATTTCAACCGTCGTTTGTTCGTCTTTCTTTAATCTCTAGAAAGGAATTAGATAGATCAGATATGAAAATCTTAGGGGCAGGAGGCCCCGATTAACTATATATGAACTTCTGGTGCAAACTAGAAATCATGTTATTCAAAACATTTTTTTCTGGAAGCAGTTTATGACCAGCACGACTGCATTACTAACGGAAAAGTATGATGTACAGTACAGGGGCAAGAAATTACAGTACTAATTTGAGGTGAAGAGTATATACCGGTATTTTAAATGAAATAAATTAAAAATATAATTAAAAATTACAGCCCGGCATTATGACGATGTCACAATAAATAATTGCTCGTTACTTTTACATTTTTCGCTTAACTAATTTTATATATCGTTGCATCAAAGCTATATAAAAAAACATTCTACATTTATTTAAATTTAAACTTTAAAAGGAATTTAAAAAATTAATGTATATTATCAGTTTCTCTACTTTTTGTTTTGTAGAGTTAAAGTGTGCGACTCATATAATTCTATTCATACACTGTGTATGAATAAAATTACATTATATAGTAGCATTAAAGCAAATTCAAGAAATGTATGTGTATTAGTTCTTACAATATTATTTATATAATTATGTAATTCTAAAATTTAAATTAAAATAAAATTTACATCGTTAGAAGAAAAAATCTTTAGATAGGTAATAATCTAATTTTTGTGTTTTATTCTTATCTTGTTATGTTGTTTCCCACGGATAATGTTTTTAAACGATAGAAACATTTACTAAAGATAGCTTCAGAAGGTGAGTTTAGTAATTTGGCCGTATAATTATTCAATATATTTATGATAAAAAAAAACTAAGGTGAACTAAAATGGTTAATTAAAATTGTTCAAAATTTATAATTATAAAACATAAAATTATATCTAATACCATAGCTGTTGGAAGCTAAATTTTCTTCGATAAACAAGCTACAGGTAAACTTTTAAAGTGAACTTTTTTTGAATATTCAATTGTTGTAAAAGATATTTTTTATTTATCAAATAAACAGTTAAAATTTAACTAAACTTGAAGATAAAATTAAAAACATATCATACAATTAAATTAAAATTAAATACGTAGCCTACTTGTAGACACTGGATGCACCTGTAAGCATATTATTGTTTATACTGATAATATCTATCAATTAATCTTGAATTTAGAAATTTAAAAAAAAAATTCAAATAGGGTATACTAGCGAAATAACACATCTTGAAATCCTAGACCCAGTTAATTCCAAGCTAATCTTGGACGTTCTATTCAGTAGTTATAAATAAAATTTAACAAATTTTTTATTAAGAGCTCTTGGATCATCAGTTTAATTAAAACTTAACTTATATATTTAAGAAATAATTTAAAAGTATTTTATTTAAATTTTTAAATATTTACTTTAAACGTACAGTGTAAAATAAATTTCAAAAATTAGTTTGAAAAAATGGGTGTAATCCTTCCTCTGCTATATAATGCCGTATATCTCGGTGTTACGTTTGATTTAATTCATTATCGAAATGGGTATTTTAATATCTACAACGAATGGAAAGAAAAGACAACAGTAAGTATTTTATCAAATATTATTATAGCTTTTATATAAAAACTATATAGAATTTATACTTTCTAGACAGAAAAAGAACATTATACATCTGAATATAAAGTAATTGAATCATCTAGAGATGTGAGAGAATTTTTTAAGATAGATTCCAGATTAGCTTTGGCATTAAAATTATATAAATTTGAATCGTCAGTGGCTTCCGTTATAAAACCGTCTGTCATTCCGAGAGATAGAATCGTAGAAATTCAATTCAGAGTTCATTATCAAAAGGTAATTATAAAGTTTTAAAGTATAAAATTCATATTTTTGGTTAGTGGTTAATGCATCAGTTGCATATTGATTTATCCTTGGTAATGTTTATCAACGCTAATAAGAAAGATAAGTCACAAAGTTCATATATATAATAGCGAGTAATTAAGCTTATTTATTGTGACATCGTCACAACGCCAAGGCTGCACGTTTTAATCGTATATTTTTTAAATTTACTTAATTTAAAATATAGGCTTTGATTTTTGTAGTGTCTTATCCTTGTACGTTATATTTTTCCTGTTAACAATAAAGTCATAAGGTCATCTAACTAACTCCATCCTGGAGAAAATTCTTGAATTAAAATAACGCGACTTCCGGTCCAAACCGAAAATTCGTATACAGTATAGTCAATTGGAGCCTCTTGCCCCTAAGCTTTCTATATCAGGTCGCGACTTTCATCTATAAAACCGTTCTCGAGATTAAGGAAGGAAAGACAGACAGATGGATACCAGCGGAAATTTCTATGTCTGCTATTTAAAAATTGAAGCCCAGTTATATCACTAAGAAAGAATGAGTAGTAAAGTAGGTTTACAGAATAAAATATTCGTTTTAAAATGGCTTAAATAAATTATAAAATAAACACTTGAGCCGAAGTTGCTGAAAAATAAAAGTTTTAATGAGTAAATATAAAACAAATTATTAAAGTAATTATTTAATTAAGCAAAGATTTACTCTTGATTAGCCATGCTTCTTCAGGCAAATGAAAAAAAAAAATCTCAATGTCGAAAAACTGAGCGACATTTGGAAACGTTTCTTCTTTCTCTCGCATAACATTTTCTTAATTTTTTTTCAATATATCTTTATTTATACTTTTACAAAACTTATTTTTAAAGTATGTTCCTTTCTTTTGAAATGTAAAAACACGTTCCATTTTGAATCCTTGTTTCTTTTCCTGAAGAAGCATGACTAATCAAGTAAAAATATTTACCTAAACAATTTCTTTTATAATTTGTTTTTATGTTTTATCATATAATTAAAGCTTTTATTTTTCAGTGACAGCGGCTCAAGCGTTCATTTTTTACTTAGTTTACAGTTTCCAGTGTGCGCTTACCATTATCCTTGAAAAATGATCTATTACGACTAGGTTTCTCATTTTCCGATCTTTTGCTCAATATATTAAAAATTACTTTTGAATTACGTAGAAACTTTCACAAATAGAAAAAATTTATTAAAGTTTGCTGGAAACTGCATACAACAACAACAACAAAATGCTTTGAATTGAGTTGAAAATTTAAAAAAAAAATGAACTTAGATCAAACTTCTAACTTAAAAGGCAATTTTCGTGTTTTAAATAAAACATAATACAAAATATTATTGTAAATTTTTATAATAAGATTTTAAAAAGCAAAGATGGTCAATACTCCGATCAGTCAATCTGATTCTTATTTTAGTAATGAAAAATCCCGCTACCGAGAATGCCCTTTCCGATTTAATTGATGTTAGTAGAATCGTCTTTAATGCATTTAAGAGAAGACAGATGTTATATGTTTTTTCACTTGTAGCCTGGAAGATTTCGAGTTCGTTTTCGAGATTGTAGTACTGTACTTCTTTTGCGCTCTAGTATTCTTGATTTGTCTACCTCGATTGCTTTAATAGCGGCATCAAGCTTATAGCACGATAATTTGGCAATTCGCTTTAAAATGCTTTAATAATCAGGTTTATGAAGAAAAACTTCATACTTGCAGACTTCGTACTCGTTTGTATCCTTGCCCAATTTGCACAACCTGCCGTCAATTACAGTAATACTAATTGACGCAAAAATGCCAGATGAAAAAACAAGAAGTTTCAGTTTTTTTTAATATAGATTTAAGTTTCTGTTATGCAATAATCAAAGTATTTGCGCAATTTTTTAATTTTATAAAAATCTATTTTTCAAGACTATTTTCTAATAATATTATATTTAGATGCTCTAATTACTTTTGTGAATTAATTTTTAATTTAATGTACAAAAGGATAAACATAATTGATGTTTATTTAATATCTAAACTATACGTTTTGTTTATTTATCTATTTATTTATTTTTAATTTTAAGGTGGAAGATACAGTACCTTCATTTTTAAAACCAAACAACAGCTGGATTACTCCAAATCACAAGTACATTGATACTCATTTTGTCAAAAAAATTAAGAGAGGAGGAGAATTAACGGCAACTTTGATATTTAATTGTAATTCCGTTGAACAGAAAGAAAAAGTTTTGCAAAGTATTTTGAAGCATATTCAGAAATCCGGTACATTTAATGAGACATTTATCGGTTAGTTCATTATAATTTCTTTATATATAAGCTATATATACACATACACGTACACACACACAGGGGGATCAATTTTAATCACTCCACTAAAATAACTTGAAAATATGCATCCTACAAATAAATTATTGAACCAAAAATATTATACTTCAAAAAATGGGACCAGAAAATGGGCATATCGGTTTCATAGCGCTACAATCAGTAAAAACGGGTAACTTCATTTCATTAAATGGAAACTCCGTTTTTTTATTGCATACTATAATACTTCATCGAAAACAAACGAGATTTTATCTAAAACATTTTTTCGAGTGATACATTTATTAGAAGTTATAAGCATTTGAATTTTTAAGAATTCGCCATACTGTGTATGCGTGAATCTGTGATGTTCATTGAAAAAAGGAAGAAAAACGGTAAAAGAAAATCATTAGGAAGCTATGATTACTTGGTGGAATCAATAGATTAACGTCTTTTCTATGTTACAAGTTTGAAGTTAACACGCTATGGCACTAGTTTTAGTATGGTTAATTATATGAAGGAAAAGAATGATTCCACCAATTAACCCAAACGCAGAATATACACGTAATAAATATAGTTAAAATTTCATTTATAAAAAACTTAATGTAATTTTTCTATATAGGAAATAGTGATTTATATCATAAGTTAATGAGATTTAATGAACTTCAATTGTATTATTTGCAGATAAAATTGATAATGTTAAAAAAGAACTTGGAAAATTTTATCCGCGTTATAGTTTTCGTGAAATGAGATGCTTGGGTTGTTTGAAAATTCTTCCAACTACTCTCAAAAATATGATACAAATGGCAAAAGAACTTCCTGAAGGAATAAGTGAAATGAATGCCTTCCCGTTAGAAATAGAACTTGAAGAAATTTCCACAGTATTAGATTTTCCAAGTTATAAAGTAAATGAGTAAGTATTTCTTTGATAAACTGTAAATCTTATAACAGAAAGTTAAAATGAATTAAACTGAAGTGTTAGATTTCTTACAATTCTAACTGAAATTAAATTTACATTACTTTGAATGTTAATGTTCCCTTGGGCTTTCATAAATCATGAAAAATATTTCCATTCTAAACATTTTGTTTCGTAACTAACAGAATTTTTATTAAAGAAAGATACAGTGTTAGTTATTTATTTAGGAAAAATAAATTAGATTATTCATCTTCAATATCCACGAATTGTTTATTTAAAGTGTTTTCTTCTGTCAAAAGAACAACATTTATATACAGTAAAACCTGTCCAAAACGAATGATTTTTCTTACCAGGTTGTTAAAAACCTGTTCGAAACGGAAACATGCAAATCGATTCCGTCTTACACAGGTTTTACTATATAGATTCTGAAGAACTTTTTTCTTTAAGGCAGGTTTCCGTTTTAGACAGGTTTTACTGTATAAACTTTATTTTATTCAATTTCTTTTTATTNCTACAACTAGTCTTTTTTGAATGTATACCAAATACTTAAAAATAATTTCTATCATTTTATATATTAATCATCATCAAATAAAATCTGAAATTAAGTAATAACATAACTATTTATTGATAGCTCTCCGTATCTCTTGTCAATGGCAGAAGCTCTTTCGCCAGCATTTTTCCGCTTTGGAGGCAACTATGCTGACTATTTAATATTTGAAAAACCAAGCAATACTTGTACACATTTGAAAAATGTCAACAAAACTGCACGTAATGAGATTATTATGACAGGTAAGGAAAACATTGTTTAAAATTTTCATACATCTTAGTATCCATACATCTCTCTATAACAGAAAAAAGTTTTTTTTCATTTTTTGCTTTTTCTACTCTGTAGCTACTAACAGGATCTTTTAATCAAGCCATTGTGGGTTTTGCAATACCCAAAGTGGGGCAGAGAGGTAATGAACAGAGTCTTTAATAGTTGAGGATCTCAACCATCTGGTTGTCAATAGAGATTTTGAAATAATTTTCATTTATAAAATTAATAAACATTATTATACATAAGTTTTTGTTGTGTACAAGAGTCAACATTCCTTTTATTCAGGAAATAAAATTATTTTTTAAGTGTATAACATCTTATAGGTAGGGGCTCCTATTGCTGACTGCTTCCAGTAGTTAATCATGTAAATCAAAATCTGTGCATAATTAGTCCATTGGAGCATCCGAGGTCATCTCCGTCCCAAGTACTGTCCGGGCCCTACACTGCTTGTTTTTTTAATAAAAATTTATTTACAAAAATAAGGAGAGTATTATGAATAGACTACCATATTTACATAATACTGTATCTGGTGCAAGAATTATTAAACAATAGTTATATACATTTCGTGGGTTACATTGACAGTTCTTTTTAGGTTCAAGTGAGGATACAAATTTAATTAAGTAGTACTTCTAGTCTGTGGTTACCCCCATATGTCGTTATATCTGTCTTCTGATAGGTAGTTCCTGTAGGCATCTAGTATATGCTTTAGCCTGTAATATAAGCGGTACCTGTAGTCATTGATAGTTAGCTTTCTATTCTCGAATCTAGTTTCGTTCCTGTTTAGCCAGATAGCCAGATAGTGTATCTGGCTTCGCACGTAAGTGTGCGACTATGCAGACGCGAATTTAGAGCGAGCGAGAGGTTGCGAGCGATTTAGTTTTCGCAAAGGGAAACCATGCATAAACAAGAAGCGAGAAATAACGCTAGGAAGAGCGAATTTCTGGTTCTCGCACATATCTGACAGGTTTTGATAATATTAGAACTGAATTCAGAACAAGAAAAACTGGTAATTATTAATTTCTTAAGTAATACGATATATGCGTACTTTTTAATAAAATGTAAAAATTAATTACTTTTTCAAAATGAAATATTTCTTCTAGGTTCGAGGATATTTAGATGAACTAAAAAATGCCAGAAAAATATTTGTTCACACCCTTCTCAATCTGGATATATCTCCTTCCGCTTCATTAAGTCAATTTGATGAAGCTTTCAAACAGTATGTTTCTACTGATGGTTATAATCTATTCCAAGAAAAACTTAAACAACTTAAACGAAAAGTTGAGAATTCGGTTTAATAAAAACAAATTTTGAAAATATAATTAAGAATAATTTAACAAAATACTCACCTACTAATTTTGAATTAATTTCTTTAATTACCGATACATTGAATAAATTAATATTCTATTTTAACTACTCGAACTGAAAAAAAAAAAACAGATTTAAATACGTTATATAATTTCCAGTAATAAACGTAATTTTTCTTTCGCGATACTAAAATACTCAAACATTCATTTTTCATAAGACTTACTTTTATGAAAAATTAATGTTTGTTAATTTAAATTTATTGATACTGTCGAACCTCCAATAACAGCCACTTTTTATGTTTTCGTCAGTAGCCACTTACAGGTTTGACTTTATTGGCAAGAATATATCAGTTTTAACAACATGGAAATTATTTACTCTCTCATTATGTAAAATTTTATGTATTCACATATTAGTCGGCATAGTTGCCTTCAAAGCGGAAAAATGCTGGCGAAAGAGCTTCTGCCATTGACAAGAGATACGGAGAGCTATCAATAAATAGTTATGTTATTACTTAATTTCAGATTTTATTTGATGATGATTAATATATAAAATGATAGAAATTATTTTTAAGTATTTGGTATACATTCAAAAAAGACTAGTTGTAGATCTGGACCCAACACTAAGTGTCCGCTTGAAAATTTCAAGTATCTCTGCAAAGAAAGAAAATTATTGTCTTGTGTGAACTACAGATTTTGTGTGCTATGTAAATTTTGGTAATTATTTACCAGTGAATTAGTTGTTCAATTTTTAATGATTCCAATCAGGACCTGCACTTGTTAAAGCCAGATCTGATACTAAATACCTAAAAGTAATTTCTATTCTACATACATTTAAATAAATACCTGGTATTGAATCTTTCCCACATTTTCTCTCTTGTTAAAATACTTGTATCCAAAGCAACACTAAGAAATTCTTTTGAAACTTTACGAATTGGTTTATTTAAATCCATTTTGAAATAAAACGTGTCATTTCTAAATTCTAAAAAGTATAATCCATTGGGACAGACAAACAACACATAAACGAATAAAATTAAAGAAACCATCGCTGCTACGTTCAATATTTTAGTTACACTAATGGTATCACATGATATCTGGTTTGAATTTAGGATAAGTGACGTAACGTGACGTTTCGTGATTTAACGTGTAAAATTAAACATTTATACATATTTAATTATTATTAATTATTTCTATAGCATCATTATAAATAATAAATCATATTGAATGTTAGGTTAGAAACCGAAAATGAACTTTTTTCCTTTTCTTTTATTATTAATAATTGGTCTTTGAGGGGGCACTTGCGAAAAAGATAACGTAGGCTGCCTCGCGCATATTATAAAAAATAAATAAATAAATAAAATACGTTCACTATAAGTCCTTGTCATCGTATATACACAAGACCGTCGATACTAGACTGCTAGACTGTCAGGGCGACATAGTCGTGTAGCTGCTGTCCAGCCATAACTTAATGAATGAATCAATCGATTGATTGATTCATCTCTTTAAGTGATCGAGATTGAAGCTGGGACTCTCTTTTTATAACGGAAATTGTATATTCTTATCTTAGAATCTATTGACTTTTGGTATTAAATATAAATTTAATTCGTGAATTCTTTTTTATTAAAAAAAAAGTTTTAATATTAAGAAATTGGTAGAAAGGTCGTCTGTAAGAGAGAAGTACAGTGGGGAAAAAATGATAGCAGCACCCGGTAATCCGAGGTCATCTCCGTCCCAAGTACTGTCCGGGCCCTACACTGCTTGTTTTTTTAATAAAAATTTATTTACAAAAATAAGGAGAGTATTATGAATAGACTACCATATTTACATAATACTGTATCTGGTGCAAGAATTATTAAACAATAGTTATATACATTTCGTGGGTTACATTGACAGTTCTTTTTAGGTTCAAGTGAGGATACAAATTTAATTAAGTAGTACTTCTAGTCTGTGGTTACCCCCATATGTCGTTATATCTGTCTTCTGATAGGTAGTTCCTGTAGGCATCTAGTATATGCTTTAGCCTGTAATATAAGCGGTACCTGTAGTCATTGATAGTTAGCTTTCTATTCTCGAATCTAGTTTCGTTCCTGTTTAGCCAGATAGTGTATCTGGCTTCGCACGTAAGTGTGCGACTATGCAGACGCGAATTTAGAGCGAGCGAGAGGTTGCGAGCGATTTAGTTTTCGCAAAGGGAAACCATGCATAAACAAGAAGCGAGAAATAACGCTAGGAAGAGCGAATTTCTGGTTCTCGCACATATCTGACAGGTTTTGATATTTATCGCGTCTCGCTTCTTCTCGCCACATATTCTCGTTCGCTCGGAAAATTCGCTCGCTCGCGTCTGCATAGTCGCAGACTAATAATGCTGCACTCCTGGCATTGCATTGTACCATCGAATAGAGCTTTTTGCTCAGTTATTAGTACATATTTTTCAGTTTTCTATTACTTTCATTATTTTTTCCCATATGGATTTTGATGGTTCACATTTATAGAACAGGTGTTCCTTAGTTTCAATCTCCCCACACCTTTTGCATTTGGATTCGTTCTCTCCTGTTATATGGTGCTTTTTTAAGAAATCTCCTGTTAGTAGTATATCGTGTGTTAGCATCCAATGCATAGTCCTGCTGTACGGTTCCATGTATATCGAGTTGATGTGCCTCCATATCATTTTATAACTTTTTGTGTGACTTTCGATTACTACACGGGGTGGTTCTTTGTACTGAGTTAGGAGTGTTTCTTAGATCGATTTGCAGTTTGCGGTTTTCCAGTTGAAGTCCGGGTGGTTATACTGGAAGCTTTTAAAGATTTTAATCAGATTTTTGTAAAAGTGTGGTGCATTCCATCCCCCTGGGGATCGATTATTATCCTGTTTTTTATTTAAGTGTGGAAGATGAAATCCTAACCAGTAACCAGTATGGCTTGAACAAATCTACAGTAGGGCGCAGTTCAATCTTATCTAAGAAAGATACAGTATAATTAAGAAGACTCAAGCAGCTAAAGGAGTAACAAATATCACATCTGAGAAATAAAGAACATTGAAGAGATCATAACGGAACCTGAAACAGATCTGACGACAGAAGAACGCCAAAAACTCTTGAGTGAAGAACACCGAGAAACTCGGCGAGATATGTTTTACTATGAAAAAGAGGATTAATGCCGATATCTGCTATTAATTAAAGATCTATTGAAGAAGTGGGAGATGTCAGGTCAACGGTCTTAGAATGGCATACAAACCTAATTACTTTTTCAAAATGAAATATTTCTTCTAGGTTCGAGGATATTTAGATGAACTAAAAAATGCCAGAAAAATATTTGTTCACACCCTTCTCAATCTGGATATATCTCCTTCCGCTTCATTAAGTCAATTTGATGAAGCTTTCAAACAGTATGTTTCTACTGATGGTTATAATCTATTCCAAGAAAAACTTAAACAACTTAAACGAAAAGTTGAGAATTCGGTTTAATAAAAACAAATTTTGAAAATATAATTAAGAATAATTTAACAAAATACTCACCTACTAATTTTGAATTAATTTCTTTAATTACCGATACATTGAATAAATTAATATTCTATTTTAACTACTCGAACTGAAAAAAAAAAAACAGATTTAAATACGTTATATAATTTCCAGTAATAAACGTAATTTTTCTTTCGCGATACTAAAATACTCAAACATTCATTTTTCATAAGACTTACTTTTATGAAAAATTAATGTTTGTTAATTTAAATTTATTGATACTGTCGAACCTCCAATAACAGCCACTTTTTATGTTTTCGTCAGTAGCCACTTACAGGTTTGACTTTATTGGCAAGAATATATCAGTTTTAACAACATGGAAATTATTTACTCTCTCATTATGTAAAATTTTATGTATTCACATATTAGTCGGCATAGTTGCCTTCAAAGCGGAAAAATGCTGGCGAAAGAGCTTCTGCCATTGACAACAGATACGGAGAGCTATCAATAGTCATGTTATTACTTAATTTCAGATTTCATTTGATGATGATTAGTCTAATATATAAAATGATAGAAATTACTTTTGGTATACATTCAAAAAAGACTAGTTGTAGATCTGGACCCAACACTAAGTGTCCGCTTGAAAATTTCAAGTATCTCTGCAAAGAAAGAAAATTATTGTCTTGTGTGAACTACAGATTTTGTGTGCTATGCAAATTTTGGTAATTATTTACCAGTGAATTAATTGTTCAATTTTTAATGATTCCAATCAGGACCTGCACTTGTTAAAGCCAGATCTGATACTAAATACCTAAAAGTAATTTCTATTCTACATACATTTAAATAAATACCTGGTATTGAATCTTTCCCACATTTTCTCTCTTGTTAAAATACTTGTATCCAAAGCAACACTAAGAAATTCTTTTGAAACTTTACGAATTGGTTTATTTAAATCCATTTTGAAATAAAACGTGTCATTTCTAAATTCTAAAAAGTATAATCCATTGGGACAGACAAACAACACATAAACGAATAAAATTAAAGAAACCATCGCTGCTACGTTCAATATTTTAGTTACACTAATGGTATCACATGATATCTGGTTTGAATTTAGGATAAGTGACGTAACGTGACGTTTCGTGATTTAACGTGTAAAATTAAACATTTATACATATTTAATTATTATTAATTATTTCTATAGCATCATTATAAATAATAAATCATATTGAATGTTAGGTTAGAAACCGAAAATGAACTTTTTTCCTTTTCTTTTATTATTAATAATTGGTCTTTGAGGGGGCACTTGCGAAAAAGATAACGTAGGCTGCCTCGCGCATATTATAAAAAATAAATAAATAAATAAAATACGTTCACTATAAGTCCTTGTCATCGTATATACACAAGACTGTCGATACTAGACTGCTAGACTGTCAGGGCGACATAGTCGTGTAGCTGCTGTCCAGCCATAACTTAATGAATGAATCAATCAATCACTTTCATTGATTGATTGATTCATCTCTTTAAGTGATCGAGATTGAAGCTGGGACTCTCTTTTTATAACGGAAATTGTATATTCTTATCTTAGAATCTATTGACTTTTGGTATTAAATATAAATTTAATTCGTGAATTCTTTTTTATTAAAAAAAAAGTTTTAATATTAAGAAATTGGTAGAAAGGTCGTCTGTAAGAGAGAAGTACAGTGGGGAAAAAATGATAGCAGCACCCGGTAATCCGAGGTCATCTCCGTCCCAAGTACTGTCCGGGCCCTACACTGCTTGTTTTTTTAATAAAAATTTATTTACAAAAATAAGGAGAGTATTATGAATAGACTACCATATTTACATAATACTGTATCTGGTGCAAGAATTATTAAACAATAGTTATATACATTTCGTGGGTTACATTGACAGTTCTTTTTAGGTTCAAGTGAGGATACAAATTTAATTAAGTAGTACTTCTAGTCTGTGGTTACCCCCATATGTCGTTATATCTGTCTTCTGATAGGTAGTTCCTGTAGGCATCTAGTATATGCTTTAGCCTGTAATATAAGCGGTACCTGTAGTCATTGATAGTTAGCTTTCTATTCTCGAATCTAGTTTCGTTCCTGTTTAGCCAGATAGTGTATCTGGCTTCGCACGTAAGTGTGCGACTATGCAGACGCGAATTTAGAGCGAGCGAGAGGTTGCGAGCGATTTAGTTTTCGCAAAGGGAAACCATGCATAAACAAGAAGCGAGAAATAACGCTAGGAAGAGCGAATTTCTGGTTCTCGCACATATCTGACAGGTTTTGATATTTATCGCGTCTCGCTTCTTCTCGCCACATATTCTCGTTCGCTCGGAAAATTCGCTCGCTCGCGTCTGCATAGTCGCAGACTAATAATGCTGCACTCCTGGCATTGCATTGTACCATCGAATAGAGCTTTTTGCTCAGTTATTAGTACATATTTTTCAGTTTTCTATTACTTTCATTATTTTTTCCCATATGGATTTTGATGGTTCACATTTATAGAACAGATGTTATTTAGTTTCAATCTCACCACACCTTTTGCATTTGGATTCGTTCTCTCCTGTTATATGGTGCTTTTTTAAGAAATCTCCTGTTAGTAGTATATCGTGTGTTAGCATCCAATGCATAGTCCTGCTGTACGGTTCCATGTATATCGAGTTGATGTGCCTCCATATCATTTTATAACTTTTTGTGTGACTTTCGATTACTACACGGGGTGGTTCTTTGTACTGAGTTAGGAGTGTTTCTTAGATCGATTTGCAGTTTGCGGTTTTCCAGTTGAAGTCCGGGTGGTTATACTGGAAGCTTTTAAAGATTTTAATCAGATTTTTGTAAAAGTGTGGTGCATTCCATCCCCCTGGGGATCGATTATTATCCTGTTTTTTATTTAAGTGTGGAAGATGAAATCCTAACCAGTAACCAGTATGGCTTGAACAAATCTACAGTAGGGCGCAGTTCAATCTTATCTAAGAAAGATACAGTATAATTAAGAAAACTCAAGCAGCTAAAGGAGTAACAAATATCACATCTGAGAAATAAAGAACATTGAAGAGATCATAACGGAACCTGAAACAGATCTGACGACAGAAGAACGCCAAAAACTCTTGAGTGAAGAACACCGAGAAACTCGGCGAGATATGTTTTACTATGAAAAAGAGGATTAATGCCGATATCTGCTATTAATTAAAGATCTATTGAAGAAGTGGGAGATGTCAGGTCAACGGTCTTAGAATGGCATACAAACCAGGTTGAGGTTAATAGGCTTCGGGATCTCTACAATTACAATGCTATTAATTCTGAAAATCCTGAAGAAGAAAGAAAAGCAATCGACATTAGACAGATTATTTAACCCCCACAAACAAAAAAACATGACTAATAAAAATGCAAGTCTGTGTATATATGTATTTTTATTATTACATATAAATAAACATAGTAAGAAAGTATATATTTTTTATTTTGGGGGTCTCCAGAACCATACAAACCTATGGTAAATTAATAATCGGTTAATGAATAATTCGGATAGCGAACAAAATCTTGGAACGGATTATGTTCGCTAACTGATCACCCACTGTATTACGTAAGACGAGATCTATTACCCCCTACACATAAGTAAGAAATCGTAAGAAATCCTTGACCCCCACCCACCCGAAAATACCTTACGTAATTTATGGACGGCCCCTTACACTCACACATGTATAGTTTCGTTTAATTCCGACAAATCTTTTTTGGTTCGCTAACATTTATGGCAATGAGTGTAGAATATTTCTATCAATCCACTGAAATAAGCTCCAATCATATGCATGATAAACTGTTAAAAGTTTATAAAAGTTAAATAATTGATGTTACATATGTCAGATGATGGCTTCCTTATTTTATAATTGGAAAAATCACTGTTTTGAATAAGTGATTCACTTCACAGTGTTACAGATAAAAATCATCAAAAAATTAATAACATGATTCAAAACGATCATTGTTCGAAGATGGTAGAAATATCGGGACTATTGTATGCACGCATTTTTCCCGATTATCAACGTCCTAGGTTATCGAAAAATCGGACAATAAAGATTTCCTGTTATAGTTTAGTTTTGCTGAAGCATCTAGCCTATAGCCCTTGCCCTTCTCAACAGATTTCTTTTCTTTTGTTATTTGAAGAGGCATCTACCAGGACAGATCTTCCAGTCAGATGATGAACTAAAGAAAATTGTGAAATATTGGATCATAAAGCAGGAACTCTTTTTTACAGAATAGCTTTTATATCATTGAAAGAATTATGATTAAAATATGTAAATAAAGATTAGGGTACTGTACATAGAAAAGTTTTAATCTGTTAATATGCATTTCTTTTTCATTTAAAAATTAAACAACCTAAGAAAATTTAAATAGAATATTTTATTATCGGATAGACATTAATTTCTGGACCATTACTCAGTAAATACACAGTCGAAGATGGACAGTGTCCATGCTGTTAAAATTGCAAATGTGAAATCTTTCATTTTCTCCAAAACTATATCATTCTCGTGTAAAATTACTTTAAACTTATATCTTATTTTCTTTTATTCAATTAATTGTCAATAGTTTGTCATAATATCGAAATGAACATTAATTTCTATAACATTCTTGTTTAAATAGACTAATTTTATTTTTGATTCGTGTTCGTTTATTTTGATATTCAAATGCATTTTTGCCAACAATTTAAGAATTATTATTAAAGTCCGATATCATGTTGTATGACGTATGCACATGTTTAACTGAAATGATAATTTTCTTTAAAAAGTTGACTGTATTCTTCGAATATAATTTTATAAAATAAAAAAATCACAATATTTTATATATGCTATTTAATTTTTTTATTTAATTTTTCTCACTTTATTACATTCATTAAAATTACTTCAGTTTTATTATTTTATATGTATTATATGTTTTAACAAATATTTTATATTGCCTGAAGCACTGTGTTATTGTAGAGAAATTATTTTTTCCATAAAATAATGTACAAGTATATAAAAATGTAAAAAATAAATTTTCATTTCGAAAACCGAAAAGAACCGAATCAGAGCTTGGTACCGAAAAATCTGTAAATTGTTTAAAAATTATGAGTCCAGATTCTAGTTTCATGTTCTTCTGAATATTGTCCAATGTTCTAAATACGGAAAATTAAATTATTATTATTTCTAAGGAATGTTAATTGATACCGTCTTATTGAGAGGAGCATAAGCAAGGCTCTTCAAGTGTTTGTTTGTTGACCTCAATAAGCAGGTTGACGATTTTTTCAAAATGGGGGATATGCAAAGAGAGTTCATTGGAGTGGAACTCCTTGATACACATTGTTCCAAAGAGTTCTGGTGAGATCCCGGTTACCTTGATGTGAAGAAAGTGAATGAATTAACGAATATTCCTCACGACATATATTGATGACGAGCTTAATTGTAATAAGTACTTCTTAGTCCCTGATTTAAAAGCTGGCTACTTTCAGATACCATTGGACCCAAAGTAAGACATATTTTTGCTTTTTCTATTCCTTAGGAAAAATACCAGCCACTTAATGGTGACCACGCTGCGGAGACACATTTCCATCGCACTATATAATCCATACCTAGCTAACATCGGAGAGAGAAATATTGCCTATTCAGAATATAAGTAAAATGCGCGGTTAGTAGAGTCGCAATTGCCGAAACACAGTCTAAAAGAAGTAGGCGATAGAGGAATAATCACCACAATCAATATATAGGCCTAAGTTATATTAACATAACGAAAACTTTTAAAAACTATAGGATAGTTTAAAATATCTTAAAACTATTTAAGATGCGAAGCAGTTCTTGACAAACAACTAAATTAACCACGCATTTTGCTTTTCAAGTCTTTTTCAATAGCTTTATAGAGTTTCCATTTTGTTTAATAGTAGCATGTTAATGAAAAATGTCCTGTTATAATATTTCAGGGTTGACGATACTTAAATTAAAAACGTCGTATGTGTTATGCGAAAAATTATACATATATACAAATTTTGAGTCTACGCTGCTAGGCCTATATAAAGGACATTATATAAGATTTCAGTAGTAAGATGTAACCAATAGAGTAAAGTTTGAAAGTAGTGAGAGAATTAAAAAAGCGTCATACAGCAGGAGAGAACGAATCCAAATGCAAAACGCGTGGAGACATCGAAACTAAGGAACACCTATTCGGACGGCCCCTTACACTCACACATGTATAGTTTCGTTTAATTCCGACAAATCTTTTTTGGTTCGCTAACATTTATGGCAATGAGTGTAGAATATTTCTATCAATCCACTGAAATAAGCTCCAATCATATGCATGATAAACTGTTAAAAGTTTATAAAAGTTAAATAATTGATGTTACATATGTCAGATGATGGCTGCCTTATTTTATAATTGGAAAAATCACTGTTTTGAATAAGTGATACACTTCACAGTGTTACAGATAAAAATCATCAAAAAATTAATAACATGATTCAAAACGATCATTGTTCGAAGATGGTAGAAATATCGGGACTATTGTATGCACGCATTTTTCCCGATTATCAACGTCCTAGGTTATCGAAAAATCGGACAATAAAGATTTCCAGTTATAGTTTAGTTTTGCTGAAGCATCTAGCCTATAGCCCTTGCCCTTCTCAACAGATTTCTTTTCTTTTGTTATTTGAAGAGGCATCTACCAGGACAGATCTTCCAGTCAGATGATGAACTAAAGAAAATTGTGAAATATTGGATCATAAAGCAGGAACTCTTTTTTACAGAATAGCTTTTATATCATTGAAAGAATTATGATTAAAATATGTAAATAAAGATTAGGGTACTGTACATAGAAAAGTTTTAATCTGTTAATATGCATTTCTTTTTCATTTAAAAATTAAACAACCTAAGAAAATTTAAATAGAATATTTTATTATCGGATAGACATTAATTTCTGGACCATTACTCAGTAAATACACAGTCGAAGATGGACAGTGTCCATGCTGTTAAAATTGCAAATGTGAAATCTTTCATTTTCTCCAAAACTATATTATTCTCGTGTAAAATTACTTTAAATTTATATCTTATTTTCTTTTATTCAATTAATTGTCAATAGTTTGTCATAATATCGAAATGAACATTAATTTCTATAACATTCTTGTTTAAATAGACTAATTTTATTTTTGATTCGTGTTCGTTTATTTTGATATTCAAATGCATTTTTGCCAACAATTTAAGAATTATTATTAAAGTCCGATATCATGTTGTATGACGTATGCACATGTTTAACTGAAATGATAATTTTCTTTAAAAAGTTGACTGTATTCTTCGAATATAATTTTATAAAATAAAAAAATCACAATATTTTATATATGCTATTTAATTTTTTTATTTAATTTTTCTNATCGACAGTCTTGTGTATATACGATGACAAGGACTTATAGTGAACGTATTTTATTTATTTATTTATTTTTTATAATATGCGCGAGGCAGCCTACGTTATCTTTTTCGCAAGTGCCCCCTCAAAGACCAATTATTAATAATAAAAGAAAAGGAAAAAAGTTCATTTTCGGTTTCTAACCTAACATTCAATATGATTTATTATTTATAATGATGCTATAGAAATAATTAATAATAATTAAATATGTATAAATGTTTAATTTTACACGTTAAATCACGAAACGTCACGTTACGTCACTTATCCTAAATTCAAACCAGATATCATGTGATACCATTAGTGTAACTAAAATATTGAACGTAGCAGCGATGGTTTCTTTAATTTTATTCGTTTATGTGTTGTTTGTCTGTCCCAATGGATTATACTTTTTAGAATTTAGAAATGACACGTTTTATTTCAAAATGGATTTAAATAAACCAATTCGTAAAGTTTCAAAAGAATTTCTTAGTGTTGCTTTGGATACAAGTATTTTAACAAGAGAGAAAATGTGGGAAAGATTCAATACCAGGTATTTATTTAAATGTATGTAGAATAGAAATTACTTTTAGGTATTTAGTATCAGATCTGGCTTTAACAAGTGCAGGTCCTGATTGGAATCATTAAAAATTGAACAACTAATTCACTGGTAAATAATTACCAAAATTTACATAGCACACAAAATCTGTAGTTCACACAAGACAATAATTTTCTTTCTTTGCAGAGATACTTGAAATTTTCAAGCGGACACTTAGTGTTGGGTCCAGATCTACAACTAGTCTTTTTTGAATGTATACCAAATACTTAAAAATAATTTCTATCATTTTATATATTAATCATCATCAAATAAAATCTGAAATTAAGTAATAACATAACTATTTATTGATAGCTCTCCGTATCTCTTGTCAATGGCAGAAGCTCTTTCGCCAGCATTTTTCCGCTTTGGAGGCAACTATGCTGACTATTTAATATTTGAAAAACCAAGCAATACTTGTACACATTTGAAAAATGTCAACAAAACTGCACGTAATGAGATTATTATGACAGGTAAGGAAAACATTGTTTAAAATTTTCATACATCTTAGTATCCATACATCTCTCTATAACAGAAAAAAGTTTTTTTTCATTTTTTGCTTTTTCTACTCTGTAGCTACTAACAGGATCTTTTAATCAAGCCATTGTGGGTTTTGCAATACCCAAAGTGGGGCAGAGAGGTAATGAACAGAGTCTTTAATAGTTGAGGATCTCAACCATCTGGTTGTCAATAGAGATTTTGAAATAATTTTCATTTATAAAATTAATAAACATTATTATACATAAGTTTTTGTTGTGTACAAGAGTCAACATTCCTTTTATTCAGGAAATAAAATTATTTTTTAAGTGTATAACATCTTATAGGTAGGGGCTCCTATTGCTGACTGCTTCCAGTAGTTAATCATGTAAATCAAAATCTGTGCATAATTAGTCCATTGGAGCAGGTTTTGGCAAGCCATCTTCATAGGAAGCATATAAGATGATCACATTCTCAATGACATGTAAGAATAACAGGTTGCCTCACTCACAATGATGGGAAAAATTATTACCCAACACCCCTTTTTATGGCCGACCACATGAGGCATTATCAGGTTTTTAGCAGATAATGAGGGCTCTGTCTTTCATGTATTATTTACAGTTACAAATACAAGATTTATATTTATTTTTCAGACCAAGATATTAGATATGAAATAACACTGATGAAAAATGTTGCAAATTTTGCACAGAATTCAGTGAAATATTTTGTAATATGAAAAAAAAATATTTCTACAAATATTTCAATAGGACCACTATAGTTTAAAAATTCTCATCAATCTTAAGCTTTGTCTTTTACACAGACTTTAGTCAGTATAATCAATTTATACAGTCAGTCAGTCAATATCTTTATTATATACAATAGTTTGTACATGCCTGGCTCCACATGGCACTACTGGGAATGAAAACCAGATACAGTAATTGTTAACTTGTTTACAATACAGGAATTACAGAGATATCAAAAAGTAGGTTGGAATAGTATACAAGAGTTAATACAATGATGTTGCAGTTAAATACAATGATGATATAGTTAATTACAATTTGTTTACAGTAAAAAGATACATACAAAATTACAGTGTTGGATTTTGAAAGCTTTACAAGACACTATGCAATATTAAAAGTGTTAATACAAAATAAAACATGGAGATGTGTATAAGTGCAGAAGGAAAAAGCACATAAATTACAAAATTGAGTACAATACAGCAAATTAAGTAATGGTACAATATAATAGAGTGTAAAATACAATTTGAGTATAGAATACAATACATAAGAGAAGTAATACAAGCCATTACGTTACAACTTTGAAAACAGCAGCAGTTATGGTGGCATATGTACAATATTTACAGAGGTCCATAGCAGTGGCGGAGGTAATGAAGGAGAATAATGTCTGGTGAGGAACTACTCGTGTGGTGATGGGTGCCACTTGCTCATAAGCAAGCACTAGGTTAAGAAAAGCTGAATAAAGTTCCTTGTGTTTAAGGAAGTCTTGTTGCTGACACGGCCAGGAAATGTTTAATTTTTGGGCAATTAGTTCAGTTTCGAGACATTCCCTTTCAAGGCACACGCATCTGTAAAGATAGTGGTTGGGGCCATTCACCTCCTTACAAAGGGGAGTATGTTTACCTGTAAAGTGATGGAGATAGCTGGAAAATCTCCATGGCTGGTAATAAACTGAGTAAGGAGAGAATTGATATTAATCCAGATATGGCAGTGGTGCTCGTTAATATTAGATATGAATTGGTGGGTTAGGTAATCAATTTATACAGGGTGATCAAATGATAAATTTACTTAGAGTAGGTTTGTCAATGTTTGTTAGTGCTCTGTCATGCATTAAGAGTAAACTTTATGAAATTTGGTGTGTAAATACTCTTAATAATTGGCAAATATAATAGACATATTAAAGTTTAATAATATTTTAGCAAGTTTGATTATTTAAGGGTCAAAATAATTTTTCTGCAGCAATTACAAAATATTCCATACTTTTGCTCAGGAGTGGTTCTGTGGTGGATAAATTCCACACAACAATTTCCAGCAAATGAAAAAGTATCTTTTTATAATATTTCTTCTTGTTGCTTCCTGGGAATATGCTGATCTGCACAGTTAATATCTTCCATTACGTTGTTATACTCCAAGATTTCCTTGAGCTTTATTACTTTTTTATTTCTTCTTTGCCATGTCTGTGGTATGTACTGTTGAAAGAAAAACTGCATCTTTTTTTACCTTTATTGTAAAACAAGGGCTTTTTTTCTCTTCTGCAACTTGTGATTTTTGAGAGAGGTGCCATCTCCTAAAAGTTTTAAACTTGATTTAACTCAGGCTAGTACACTAATGGTTAATATCTAAAATTCTTTTTATAGTCATAACTTGCTTTATGAATGTATAAAAATTTTTAATTGATTTTATTGGTTTTGTCATCATATTTTATAGAAATCTGGAAGAAAATTATTTGGGAAAATGATATATTAAGTAGAGGTAATATACACAAAAAAATGTATGTACAGAAAAAGAACAAGCACNGTCATAACTTGCTTTATGAATGTATAAAAATTTTTAATTGATTTTATTGGTTTTGTCATCATATTTTATAGAAATCTGGAAGAAAATTATTTGGGAAAATGATATATTAAGTAGAGGTAATATACACAAAAAAATGTATGTACAGAAAAAGAACAAGCACTTATAATAAACTTTATAATAGATCTGATCAAAAACAATTTTACATTGAAATGTACATTTTATAACCTGAGGATTCATCCATTGTCTTGTGATATTTTAATAGACAAACTGAAAGTCAGTCATTCAGACTTGAATTCAATTTTTCATATGTAGATTACTGCTATATTTAATTTCACTATAAAATCCTCAGTTTTCAACATTTATTAATATTATTTTATATATTTAGCAGGATATATGATAATATGATTGAAACACATGTAGAGAAGTAATACTGAAAAAATAAAAGCAATATTAATATTCTAAAACTTTTTATTATTAGGAGAAGAGTGGTTAAAATTAAATAAATTTGCAACTCAAGTTAAATGGCAACTTCTGTTTGATTTGAATGCCCTTCTTAGAAAAGATGGAGCTTGGAATCCTGATAATGCTGAAATCCTTATGAAATTCAACAATAAATTTGGATTTTTTGTTGATTGGGAATTAGGAAATGGTAATTATTTAGTATAATTTATTATCTTAGATACATAAATGATTACTAAGTAATTTATTTGGTAGAATTAAATAGTCATCATCAATTGAAAGGAGAACAGCTCGGAAAAGATTTTCTTAAGTTAAGAAGAATTTTGAATTATTTTAATACTACTAAATTTAGTCTGATAGTTGGACCTGATATTACATCACACAAGTTCCAGAATTTCTTGAAAGACATTATTATACATAAGTTTTTGTTGTGTACAAGAGTNTAATTTTTCCATTGATGTAAAATATCAGATTATTAATCCATATAAAATGTAATAATTTAAGTTTATCAATTTCAAAATATAATAAATGAATTTAAATTGTTAAAAAAAGTAAAATAAAAGCTATATTTTTCACTGATATCAAATGGAAAAATATATATATATATATATAAACTAAGACAGTACTCTCAAAAGTAACACCATTCTGTCAGCCATTGGCTGCTAGTCTGCAAAGTTTTCAGGAAAGAAACTATGTCATTAAATCATATATTTTCATAACATAATATTGCTAACTATATAACTTGTTTAATTTTAAAGTTTTTTATCCTTTTTTTGTTATAATTTTGTAAATTAATAAAATATAGATTAATATTTTTATTTAGGGTTTATCACACCAATTTATAACTATAATTATGCAATTTTACAACTTTTTATTTTTCCATTGTCTAATTATACAATTAATACACAACTAAAAATATTTCTTTGCTAAAATTCATTTTTTGTCTGTGTTTTTAAAACCATCAATAAAGAATTAAGATTAGAAAACCTGAAATGCATTTAAGCAAAGAAATGTTTTATAGGCAATGAAAAAATAAAAAGTTGTAAAATTGCATAAGTGTAGTTACAAATTGGTATGATAAACCCTAAATAAAAATATTAATCTATATTTTAATTAATTTACAAAATTATTGATACATATGTATTGTAACATATTGTAACAATGTATTATTGTTATCTAATTATGATGACACTGTTGTGTACACTGCACTCTGGTATTCAAATAAAGAATCGTCATATTAGAACTTTACTTAAAATAAAATTTTGATTCATTATTTAAAGATAAATGTTGATGACTCGAAAAGATGTTATATTACACTTTTTTGTATAATTTTCTAATTAAGTTGGCAAATTTTAATTAACTTTTCTGGCTTTTTTTATATTAATGAATTTTTTTAGCAAAATAAAAAATGAAAATATTAAAAAAAATAAAGGACTTTACATTACATATAAAAACCATTAGCAAAATAGTGGAGTAATGTAATTACTATACTTGTTATTTTTTTATTCATAACATTTAATTAATTTAGTAAATCTTATTCATTTGATATACATTAAATCATATAAATAATTTTGCATAAATATTTGATTTTGTGACCATCCTGAATATTACATACATACATACAGGTTTTCACAAAGTCTTGTATATATTTTGGAACAATATAACAAAAGGAAATTGCTGTCATGCAAAAGCTTTCTCACGATACACCTCCCTCAACTGACATTGAATTTCAGTGTGGGCAAAAAAGGAAACCCACCTTTTAGCCTATAAGAAACAAATTTTTGCAGGAATTTCCAATTTGGACTCTATATCCAAATGACATGACATCTTTCATGACTGAAAACAGATTAACCTTTGCAGCCACATCAACAAACCTGCTATGCCTTGTAGCAAGAATTACTATCAGTCTTGTCACCAGATTTCATCTAAATATCATTTATCAACAAAAAGTTCTTGACAATTGAAACTTATTTTTTGACTCTCCCTCATACATGTATGTTATGGCTGTCTGAGGCAAAAATCAGTACTGTCCAGAGATGATGCAGGAGAGAATATGGAAGGGATCCTCTATACAGTAACCTCCATTAAGTAGATGTGTAATTTTAGAGATAGGATTGGTTGTTGACTAACCTTACAGTAGTCAATTGACCATGTCATCTGAGACTTGAGGCATCATTCTGCATCAGACATTTAGAATTGCACATTCCAAAGATAACTGTACTTATAATTCTACACAAATGACTGAAGTTCATGGGCGTAGCCAGGGGGGAGCCTGGGTGGGCACAGCCCTCCCCAGTGAACCTGGTGCCCCCCCAGAAAATCACACTGAAAAAGTGTTGAGCTGATTTGGAAACAGAATGAAAAACTTAAAGCTAAAAATTTTGAATACTAAAAAAAAAACAAAAAAACAAAAAAAAAGGTCAACTGTGCCCAATGTTATGAATAATTTGAAATAATTCAATATTGTGTTAGGTTGGCCTCTATTAGGTCTCCCCATAACAAAACTCTGGCTATGCCCATGCTGAAGTTGCATGCATCTGTACAAAATACAAATTGTGCAAATATTCAGCCATAAACTATGGCTGAATTGCATTTGCACCAAAACAATTTTTTTCTTCCAGCAAATACATTTTTGGGCAGATTTACAGCCCAACTTCAGGTTTAGGTTCATCACTACATACAATTGTATTCTATTTTGGAACATTAGTTCCATGGCACATGAACAATATTTTAAATTTTAGTATGTAATTCAAATTTATAAAAATTAATTAATTTACAAATTTCATATTTTCATATATATTATGGTAACAATCAAAAATATCTTATATGGTTAGCCTTTTGTCATATAACTTATAACTTATCCTTATTCATTACAAAGCATAACTTATATGATTTTTAGTGTCTAGATGTCCTAGCCTTAGTAATGGCCAGTGACACATCCAGGAGACCCTGCTAACATCCCCAAAGTAAAAGGAAAAGAAATCCTAGTAAATTTTCCAAAAATATTTCCTAATTAAAATTCATTTTTTTCTATTTTTGTTGTGTTGTATGTTCTATTTCTATATTACTTATGAATTAGTGGCCACATAAGGTGGTAATTTTATTGGATTCACATTAAAAATTTTTTCTGTTCAACTCAGCTCCTCGAGATTAAATCTTGAGTGTGCATCTGTTAATGGCATTGCAGATTGCTGCATAAGCGTATGCCTAGTCTTACATATCAATCCATATCCTTTCTCGTAGAAAGTTATGATTTACTATTACATATTTTAAATTCTAAATTAAACTAATATTTGGAAATATTTATGGTCAATATGAAAACTCTAATTTTTAAATTAACAGCTAAAAACTATAAAAAGAATGTTTAATTATTGATTTAAAAAATTATTCAATTTTACTTTTTGTGATAGTATGGGGTGGAGTGAAAGCTGGAGATTGGTAACATTAATCTTTTTTAAGTTTTCTTTTATCCAGTCATAAAAATTTGACATAGTTATAACATTTAAAACTACAGTGTCTTTAATTTCCTTCAATAAAATTTAGGTCAAGTATTGATGAATTTGAATTACACAAAGTATCATTTTTACAACAAAATTACAATTGACATAATATTTTTTTTTTTAAGAAAGAAATAAAGGTTAAGATGCATTCAGATTTATTGTTAAAGTTATTGATAATTTAGTATGTTAAAACTATACTTACATACTACAGTATTCGTACTTAAGATGGTGTTCTGTTCTCCATCTCAAGTATAGTACCACCAGTTCTTGAACCAGCTTGTGAAATAAAATTGTTTAAAAATAACATTTTATTATTATTAATTTAATTACATGTTATGTAATAGCTATTCTCGCATAAAATCCAACTTTATGAAAAATTTTATATTCAATGTTTTGTTTTAATAATGAATTTTTCTTTCAGGTTTTTACAAGAAGCAAGAACAGTCTTAAATGCAGTAACATTTCATCAGTAAGCTAAATTTATTCAAAAAAAGATTATTCAATTGAATATAATATAAAATGTCTGTAAAATTATTTAATAATTCAGATAATTTGATATTGTAAATAATGATATACTGTACAGTATAATTTTAATATTTTAACTATAATCTGAAAGTTCTTCAACTTAAATGTGTTAAAACAGAGTACTGGTAACAAATAATTCATTTATGAGTTAGGGATTTGAATCCCTCTCTAGAATATTGTTTTTTCAAACTTTTCTAAACATTGGCAGATAATCCAGCAATAAATTAAAGAAAAACAATGCTTTTGATTATCTTAAGTGTTCTTTAGTTTTAAATAAATTCAGAAGTACTTACACTCTATAATTCCTCTTATAGAGGTAGCATAATGTATGCAATGATTGAAATTAAAATAGATTAAAGAATTAACTAAGCAAAAAACTATATATATATGTTAATTTGTCAAGGGCTGCAGAAACAGCATCACAATGTCAAGCTCGATTTGAAAAACTTTTCTCAATTCTTCAATATACTTTCTCATAAAAAATATTCTTTTATGCTTGACAGGAGAGTTTCTAGTAATCATATAATCATCTCTACTCTAGTCGTGAGATAAAAGGGGAAAGAATTAAGGTAGGAAAATAAATAAATAAAACTAAAATGCAAAAAGCATAACTGTTAATGCAGTAAGCAATAGTGCATTAACAAGTTAGCTGCATTAATCATAGAGATACTGACAACTGTGGACAATTTCAAAATTACTTTACAATTACAATAATATATTGAGTTATTTGTAACGTGTTAATGCATTAATGCTCATTGAGTTGGTTATGTACAGTACAGTACAGTACTTTAGTTTTATTATTTTCCTTTCCTTAATTTTTTTTTTCGTATTCATTGTACATTACTTTAAACTCAATTTGCAATTCACTTTAGTGCATTTGCAGTAAATGATTGTATATATAGTTATTTAACTTATAATGCAATAGGTGTACTCTTAAAACATTCATTCTCTCATAAAAAACAATCAAATCAATTATTTGAAGACAAATGTTTTTTTAGTTTAGAAATAACCTAATATACAAATTATTATAAAGAATGTCCCATTACTAGTGCTGGATGTAAATTGCATGCCATTGATATTCCATATAGTTGATAACCTTAAAAATGTCATATGGTTTCCAATAACCCATGAACAATTTCTGACCTCAAGATGGCGATTCAACATGCTATTGGCAGATTTGGGCTGGAATTATGCAGCTGTGTCATAAGCAGTTTTGTGAAAAGAGTTTGAGTGGTCCAAATTCTTTGGGAAACATATGGTGGCTGATGTCTTCCATGCATAAAAATAAATTAGCATGTTACTTATGTTATTAGCATGTTAAAAATGGTTTAGAATGTATACTATATTATACTAAACTATACTATAATATAGTATACTATATTAGCATGTTAATAATGGTTTAGAATGTATGTTAAAAATGGTTTAGAATGGTTTTCTTATATTAAAATAAAAATATCCACAGTTGTTCAATAAATGATGCATTGTATTCCACAATTAAAGTTGGCACTGGGACATCCAAAAGTTTTCCTACTTTAAATGTAACTGCAAGTCACTTTGTGCATGCAGTTACATTTAAAGTTATAGACTTGATGGTGGTGCTTAAACAGCCACATTACAAAAAGTCTCCAGTGCTGAGCAGCCCAATAAATATATTTAGAACAAAGCATCCTAGAAAATTAGAATTTGAATCTTTATTATTACAATAATTATTCATAAGTAATGCACTCTCATAATATTCTCTCATAGGTATGAGAATAGTATTGATTATTAAATGAAAGAAATAACCTGAGTTCAATACAAAAACAGGCATTACACAAAAATCTGTCTTAATATTGATAATTTATGAAAGTCTTGTAATTTTCAACAATAAAAATGCTTAAAAGTTTTTCTTTAATAATTATATTTATATACTGTATATATTATATTTCAATGACATTAACTTAAAATAAAAAGTCCAAAATAGTTGATAAAGACCTCCCAAAAAATATTTGGTTGTGCCCAATAAGATAACAAAATACTATATACTGTTTATTATTATTTATGTAATATATTATCCCATAAATTATATTTTTAATTTATAATAAATATTAAAATAAGCTTTGGTCTTTCAGTTATTATGTAAATGGAAGGACAGCCGTCATGGAGGATTTTTTAAATGTTGATATCTTAGACAGTTTAGTAATATTAATTAAAAAAATACATAAAATCGTAAATGTAGAAGCACCAAAGTTAAGTATTTGGTTAGGTGAAACTAGTTCAGCATATGGTGGAGGTGCACCACATTTATCCAACAGTTATATAGCTGGATTTTTGTATGTATTATTTATTTAAATATTTTTCTTTAACATTAAATTTATTTCATATTTACAAAATACTTATTAGGTGGCTGGATAAATTAGGAATATCAGCTGTTCATGGTATTGATGTAGTTATTAGACAGAGTTTAATGCAAGGACATTATGCATTATTGACAAAAAATTTAAAACCTCAACCAGTATGTATAATATTACTTTTCATAAAAATATTACTTGAATTATTATACATGTAAGTTAAAGTGATTTGTAATTTAACATAAATCTGCAATAATTTACAGTAGATTTTATATTTTAAGTCTTATTTCATACTTTAAATTTTTATAAATTTGTAATAGTTTTTTAATAGGATTATTGGCTGAGTGTTTTATATAAATGGTTGGTTGGAGATAAAGTTATTAAAATCCATACTTTACCATCAGATAGAAAGTTAAGAGTTTATGCTCATTGTACCCAAACAGAAAGGTATGAAATTAATATTTTATTTGATGAAAATAAGATGTGTAAATCTAATGTCTTTATTTGGATTTTTCTAGACTGTATAACATTTCTGATTCAGTAACAGTTTTTATTATAAATCTACATAATTCTACAGTAAAAGTGTATCCAACTGAATTAAATACATCTCCAATTCATCAATATCTTTTGACTCCAAATGCAATGAATTTACTTTCTAGGTAAGAAATTTCAATGTAGAAATATCAAATTCATTTAATTAATATATTTTTAATGTTTTAATTTACAGAGAAGTTAAGTTGAATGGACAAGAATTAAAATTAAATGGTACTAATCTTCCCAAATTTATACCAAAAGTAATATTTCCACCAATTGTTATTCCTTCATATTCATTTGGATTTTATGTATTTCCAAAAATATCTGCAGCAGCTTGTATAAATAAAAGTGGAAGTTAGTAACTCTTTCAAAATTATAATTGTAATGGAAAATATATAAATTATGGTAAAGAATAATTTAATTTTTTAAAATTAAAACAATTACATTTTGTATCAAATATTTGTACTGTTTAAAAATTACTTGAAGTAATAAGTTAACATAGGAAAAACTGTTCAGTTTTGCAGAACCACATTGTAATTATTGTAGACCTATAAATTCCCATTGTCGTCCATCTCTTTATCCTTAATCTTGAGAACGGAGTTAGATAGATAAAATCAGATATGGAAAGCTTATAGCAGGAAGCCCTGATTAATTATATACGAACTTCTGATGCAACCCGAAAGTCACATTATTTCAATTCAAAAATTTTCCTCTGAAAGGCATTAGATAGATGACTTACATTAGATATTGTTAAAGAAAAAGCATGATGTACAGGGGCAAGACACTATTAATTTGAGGTGGAAAGCATATATTTTAAATTAAATAAATTAAAAATATGATTAAAAATTGCAGCCTGGTATTGTGACGAAGTTATAATAAGTATTTGCTGGTAATGAAATTACATTCATTTGACTATTCTAGTGAGTAAACAGTTCTTTATTTCACATTTCATTTTACAGTTTCATTCAACAAGATATTTTGTCACATATTTCATCAATTTTACTTGCATAAGAATTACATGACTCATTTATTCTACTGGTAGATTTTAAAGATGATTCTCTGTTATCTAATGAAGAAAGACATTTATCTGTTTTATCAATTAACATTTCAGTAGATGTTAAATCACTTTTGCTAGGAAAAGAGAAAAAGTATATATACATTAAAGTCAGTTTTATAATAAATTTGACAATACCTTCAAATATCAAATATACACGGGCATCAAGACAGAAGGGACATATCTTCAAATATTTTTATACCAGCAAATTCTTTCTTTCCAACGTACTTTTCTTTTACACCATACCAGAAAAATTAAAAGTAGAAACGAATATTGTAAACAACAAATACACTATTTTGTATATTTATTCAAAACCGAACAATGAGAAATCTTACTCGTTGTTGGTCCGTCCCTCCAGTATTTATATAGATCGACACAGGTGATTATAACATATACCCGTGTGATCAAAAAGTATCGGAAATGGTTCAATAAAACGCACAATTTTGAATTCATCTATACTAATATTATAAAGAGGTAATGTTTGTAAGTATGTATGTATGTAAGTTTGTTTGCAGCAGGTAATCTCCGAAACTACTCATCCGATTTCAAAAATTTAGGGGTACGGCTGTTTGAAAGGTTTTCTTCCATAAAATTAATCGATTTTAGACTAATTTGACTCGAACATTTCCAAAACACGTATAATTTTTGGGAATAACCCATATAAAATATGTTATAAATCCAAAGTTCAGCGAATTCTTCGCAAAAACAGTAAGTTATCAGAAAACACGTCGGAGATGAGTACTCACGTGACCGAATAGCACCGACAAATGTCGCGTGACAGCTTCGTACGTCGATGTGCTGATCCGCGACGAAAACAAGCTTAAGCAATGGCGTCTTCGAACTCGGTAAGTATTCCGACAATTTTTTGTTTATAACACATTTTATATGGGTTATTCCCAAAAAATTATACTTGTTTTGGAAATATTCGAGTCAAATTAGTCTAGAATCGATTAATTTTATGGAAGAAAACCTTTCAAACAGCCATACCCCCTAAACAGCACAAGTGCCCAAATGCCGCTTTACTTCACGTTCGGACTTCCTAGAGATCCACGGTGAATGAAATATCTCAATAACATTCTGTTAATTATTTTGAGAAGAGAACAGAAATAGTGAGAAAATTTAAATAATAAGAAAATAGTAGAATGTAACGTATAGCAGTGAATGCCAAGAAGGAACGTAAAACAAGAAAAATTTGTACGTAATAGAAGAAGGGAAGTTGTTCTGTAATTTTAAAACACTAGTTTTTGCATGGAGTTTTTATCGATTGACTACTAACATCAGAACTCCATGCGGTCAGCTCTTTTGTCAGACACGAACCAGTGTTCAGTGGATAAAACCACTAAACACTGATGGGCGCAAAATTATAAACAGTGTTTTAGAAAACATTTTTTCAAAGGAAATTTTGACAATATCCTAAATTTGTTTAAAAAAAGAATTTTAATTCTATTCTATAATAATAAACGTATATGTATATAGGTATTTCAGAAGTATATTTCTGATATTCGAATAATTTTTCCATACTATTTGTTTTCCCCTCCTTTTCAAAATAACAAGATCTGTTTCAAAAATTATTCTGAAAAAAATGAGTTAAAGTTTATATCCTGATAATTACTTTATCGGAACTTGATCAAAATTACAGTAATACCCCGAACTTACGCGATAGGTGGGACCGAGCGATAACCGCGTAAGTCGGGGTATAATTTCTCTATGTGTGTAAAATCCAAGTCGGATGTATGTAAGCTAATAAATGTTCTCGTTAATCTTATCTCGTCTTTTGATTCGTTCATTGTTACAAGAAATCACCACATAGAGTCTCTCGAGTCTCCCTAGATATAACAAACACAGAAATAAATAACACAAAATAAATTGTAGATATGTGTCGATTCCGCGCGACACGTCCGAACATGTAAGTTGAACAATAGTGTGGAGGGAATGAGTAATCAAGAGTTGCCTGGTGCTCAAACAAAAGACGAATCGACGAGATTTGAAAATCGCGTAACTGCGGGTTCGCGTAAGTCGGGGTAGCGTAAGTCGAGGTATCACTGTATTGTGAAAATGTATAATAATCTAAACTCTCATTTCCAGATTAAAAAAAAAACTCTGTATGTTTCAAGTTCTCTTTATGGATTTTTAATTGTCCGAAAGGAACCGTGTTGTCCAACCGAAATTGTTTACTGGGCCAAAACGAAAAATAAAAATACAATCTGTGCCGGACATATTTATTTACAACAAAACATATACAATTACTGTATATAATATTTTGTATGTATTCTAATGTGAAACTTGCTTTTCAATTTTTTCACTTAATTTTTTAATATCAACAGGCATTTTTGATGTACAACATAATTGGTCTTTTTAATTTTTATCGGTCAATCTATTACGACTTTTACATTTAACAATCTTCAATTTTTAGAAAAAAGATAGGTGCATATTTTAGAAAAGATAGGTCCCATTGCAGCTGTAATGCTCATGGTGTTTTTTTGGGGGTTTAAGAAATTTATCATTACAGACGTATTTTGTATAAAACTGAACTTTGTTATTGGCCTCAAACATATATTTCAATTCAGAAGATGAATAGAGATTTATCAAATCTATCTGCAAATTTGTTGGAGTTTGTTCCACAACAATGTCAAATGGACAAAAGAAAATATTAAATATATTCTCATAAATTTTTAAATATGAAAATCTTTTTTGAAATTCTCTTAGTAAATTAGTAATTTCTTTGCACATACAGTAGAACCTCGATTATCTGGACCTCTCTTATCCGGATTTTNAAAAAAAAGCGCTTGACAAACTTGCCCCGTATGCCGAAGTTGCCCCGATCTCCCCTATTTCAATTCAGAAGATGAATGGAGGTCTATTAAATCTATCTGCAAATTTGTTGGATCTTGTTCCACAACAATGTCAAATGGACAAAAGAAAATATTAAATATATTCTCATAAATTTTTAAATATGAAAATCTTTTTTGAAATTCTCTTAATAAATTAGTAATTTCTTGTGCATATTTAGAAAAATGTTTTTGTCACTATTATATTTATGTAATTTTGGACGATGAATTGTAGTTTTTGATTTTAACTGACTTTCATAAAGTTTGAGTTTTTCTATGAATGCTTTCATATTTTGGTAACAGTCTGTGATCAATTTGTTTTCACCTTGAAGCTGCTTATTAAGTTCGTTTAATTTCATTGTGATATTTGGAATGAAANTGGACGATGAATTGTAGTTTTTGATTTTAACTGACTTTCATAAAGTTTGAGTTTTTCTATGAATGCTTTCATATTTTGGTAACAGTCTGTGATCAATTTGTTTTCACCTTGAAGCTGCTTATTAAGTTCGTTTAATTTCATTGTGATATTTGGAATGAAATTATAAATTCAAAAACCAGTGTCCATCATATAATTTAGGAACATTCTGGTCCTTTTCATTCATAAAAATTTAAATTTCTTTGCAAATTTCCAAAAATTTTAAAGCATTTTCCAGGACTTAATTAGCAGAGATAACTAAAGAGAATAACTTTATTAAAAATGGAAGAAAAGAAAACCAGTAACTAACGGTCTTCCGATTTTGAAATGACCTACAGAACATAACCTTTACATAAAGCGCCTCTTGGTGGCTGACTGTAATAGAATAACTTGCACAGTAAAACATAATTAAACCCTTTAACAATCTAAACACGGAATGATTTGAAATTTTAAATCTATATGGACGTGTAAATGTGTAATTCTATTTAAAATTTTATTAGGCTTATTTCCAAAGAATTTAAAGAAAACAAAATTTCTTATCGTTTATTGGAAACACAAAAACCATTGTAACTTAAACTTAGCTTCATGACTGACTTGTCTGCCAGACATTTCTCACTCGCATTGCTATAATTCAGAAGACCATCAAACAACTTCAAAACAAAAACCGAATTAGTGAAAGGGTTTATAACAGGCATGGCCAACATGCGGCCCGCGAGCCGGATGTGGCCCGTGTAATAGATTTATGTGGCCCGCGATTAATCTTTCAATATTAGCTACTCAAGTCAGAATAGATCAGTGAAAAATTCTAACGCCTAAAAAAAAAAAGGCCAACAACTCGCTGTCCGGTTAGAGTTAACCCTCTATTACAAATCTATTAAGTACAGCGTAGAATGTTGATAAAGCATGATAATATGGAAAATGTATATGTAATCTCTGTGCAATTTAGTCTCTACGGGGTGACACAACAATGAGATCTCGCACCACCTCAAAATCTTCCTAGAGCAGCCTCTGGTTCGGCCCGAGGGCAAAAACTGTTGGCCACCCCTAGTTTATAACAACGATGTAATACATGAGATATGATGAGCGAAGTGAGGAACAAACAGCCAACGAGGTAGTATTTAAATCGACTTTGTGCTCACTTTTAATGCGCGTCCTAACTTTGAAGATCAAAAAAGTTAAAAGAAGATGCGCTTTAGAATCAAGAAAATAAATACTACTACTAATTTTATTAGAAATTATTTTTTA